CAGACTGCAGCAGCGAGTGAGAAATACAGGAATAAAAGTACTAACATCAGAATCATGTTAAAAATAATAATCGCGTATAAATTGAGCTGTATGAAGAATGCTGAAACTACAATAATGAGGCGAATGGTCCGCTACTGTTTCGCGCGTCAAATCGATTACACAAATCGATCCTACTGCCCGTCTTTTCGATTCCCCCATTTCTTTCGAATGTAATGAACCCTTCCCGATGAGCCTTTCAGAAACACATAATAGTAAGGGTAGAAAATTGGTGTTTACTGTCACTTAACAGGCTGAAAGTCTTCCAAGGTTGGCGAGGACAAAACTTTGATGTCAGACGGAATTCGAAGCCGTACTTGTTCTATCCCGGCACCGTGCTCTTTATCCCTATTTTAAAAGGCCGAAAAAAATTATATTAGGTAAAGTGTTCCGCCAATGTCTCGATTTCTTGCAAACCTTGGCGTGTTGAAGCGACCCATGACTTTTCTTTCTCCCCTTCCTCCTTATTTTTTGAATTTTGAATATTTTTTGAATAATTTATACCATATAATAAAGTTATGGTCGTAACAGTTTCGCCAAAGGTTTTCATAACCAGATCACGGGACTTGGTAGTTATAGTTTAGGATCATTTACATTTAATAACGAGTTTATATTTTGTTATATTATAGACTACCAAAAGGCAGTCAAACCAGTAGTGTGGCCAGGCTGCAATATCTTGTTCTGAAATGATCCACGTTTTTATTCTTAATGGCCTTATCAACAAGTGATGAAACAGATTTTTTATTGTTCACCCGCGTTCAGTAGAATCTGTCAATCTTCTCAATTAGTTGCCTTAAAATCGATTCTTCTAAATATTCACTTTTTCAGATTACATGTTTTCACAGTCTTGTTTTTGGAAAAATATTTTTGAAGCTTGTCGATTTCTAGTTATTTCACAAGTTGCTGCATTGTTTACTGCTCCATTGTACGGCTAGTAACCATTTCGAGAGCTATGCATCTCTGAGTAAACAAGCAAATATTCGACTGACTGGAAATATTCGATTTGGTCTGAGGCAGTCATGGGTGCACTGATTAGGATTCTGGCTGTTCAGGAGACCTGCAGCCGAAAATCAGACTTTTCCAGTGAAACCAGAGTTGTCCTTTGCTCTTCCAATTATTTTTTTTTTGATAATTGCTGCTTTCATTTTGTTTATCGCATATTAATTTATTATTCAAACATTAATAACTTCAATAAATCTCCAGTAAAAGTCAAGTAAAACGTTGAGTAAGTGCAGAAGTGTGCGATCCCATTACCGAGAAGTGAATGGCCATTGAATGGCACTTCATCAACACGCAAACGTGGTATGGCGTGTTGATAAACGAGCTTTCGTTGTTCATCATGTTCAATGGATTCTGAAGGATGTGTTCAATGAGGTGAATGTGCGTGTCGAACGTCGTCTGGACAAGTGCCAATCCGCGATTTTCGCCCTCCTTCACCCGTACACCTGCTCGAAACGATGCTGCTGTTCCCGTGGGTTGCCGTCAGTCCAGCCCCGTCGTCGTCCGTTTTCTCGTCCATCGGCATTTGCTCCATTTACGGCCTTGTCGTTCTTTCATCTCGCCACGATTCTGGCCCGCACATCACGCTCCGATCACATAACTCCGTTTTGCATTCATAGTGCTCGAATTCAATCAGCCAGCCCACTCAGCCAGGCTTTTCGCAGCTGCCTTTTCAGATCGTACAATCCCGTCCGTCCGTCCGTGTGTGAGGACGTGACGTAATCGCGTCCACGGCATTGCTCATATACCGCACCTGAGACATACTCCCACGTTCCCTCCCATTCGGGCTATTCCCGTTCGTTAGTCAAAGCATATCTGGCCATATTTTCGAAACATTGAAACGTTCGCACCAGTCACCGACATGCCATGAACGTTGGAAATCGTGCAGACCGTGTTCTGGTTAGAATATGCTTATGATTGGTACTGTGTAACACCGACCGACGTCCCCATACCATCAATTCTCCCTAATAATTGCCCACACATCCTCGTGTTCTCACCCCATTCACAGAGGTCGCTAAGGGGTTTTTCATGACCATTTCACATATCTCGACTGCTCATTAGTCATGTGTCAAGGAACGCATGCCAATCAAAAAGAAGATATGAGACCGTCTGAGTGCGCAGTTGTTAGGTGAGGTGGGATGACGGAAAGACGAAGTTTCTGAGCGTTATGTCGGTGATGTCCATAGTTTCTGTTCGCTTTGCCGTGTTCTCCTTCAACTGTCCTCAGAAACTGGTAAAAAGTGGATTGACAGCTTCTAGAAAAACTTTGTTTTTGAGAGGCTCCACCAATCAGGCTCAGGAAAATGCTGCAGTACGAGCTGCCAACAGCTCCTCCCCAACTCGAACTGACTATTCGGCAAGTTGCCGCTTTTAAATCGCTCTTTTTCCCTTGCATCTATGCTTTCTTCTTTAAAGCCAAAATCAGCCACAAAATGCCCAAGTCCCTCCTCCTCTTTCCTATGATCCCATGGCCTTTAGGTCCCCGATTAAAAATTACGTAGAACATGTTTAGAGGTCCCGGCGGTCGCTTTACCTAAAACAAGCTCATGTACAGCCTCATTTTGCACCTACATGCGGCCGGCTTCACAATTCAGTAGGGACCACTTTTTCTCCGGGACCACTTACTTACAGTAGGCTCGAGGCCAACACTTGGAGTGCTCTCTGAAAGGGCACCACAACAATGCAGAGCTGTTGTCTCTCGATCAAGTAATGGGATCATTTTGAGCTCTTGTGTAGCAACTGATACTACTCGATAATTGTTGATAATTCGAGCTTAAAATCGGTGCATTTGATCGATTTAAAAATGGAATATTGACAATATTCTGGGAAATTTGGCGTTTCAACTGACAACATCAGATTCATTTCAATGATTAACAATGTTTACAATTGTAGATGTTGACTTTTCATGTTTAAATCGCATTCAATCTAAGCAATTCGCAATGAATCATATGAATGTTTCATGAAGCAAATAGCTTAGATATTTTTCTTCAGCCACTACCCTCGTCGTCATTCACACTCTCGTTCGGAGCACTTCATTATAATGGCCCCGAAATTTATAGCCCATCTTTCAATTCACCTACTACAGAGTGGTCGTAAAGTATTGTCTCTATATTTTACAAAAATACTTTACAACAGTAATTAAACGAAGTTTTTTGAATTTTTACAATGTTTGCAGTAATTATCAAGGATTATCCTGTAGTATAATATTCTTCCGTTTGAATGTTGCTCCAAGTATCCTGGTCTCATCGGGTTGCCGTTTTGACGTTCCGGAAAACTTGAACTAACTGCATCCCTTACTCCTTCCACTGACTACTCTTAGACTAACTAGTCGAAGACAAGTTGAGAAGAGGAAAACTAATAGTTTGAACCATCTCTATCGCTAACTTACAAATGCATGGGAAGCTTCAAGCCGGTTCTAGCTACGGTTCACCTTCAGGTCTGTGGTGCTCTTTTTTGAAAGCCTCTCTGAAAGCGGGTGAAGGGCATTTCAAGCAGTTTTTTTTTNTTTTTTTTTCGAGTAATATTACTTCACAGTTATTTTTAATTTGTTAAACAACTGATCCTACCAGATGATATGTGTTTATTGAAATTTATGTAATCATAAGGGGCAGAGGTGGTGTACTGGCAAGTGGCGCATTACCACATGCACAAGGTCACGGGTTCGGATCCCGAGTCGATGTTCAACTAGGCTAACGAAGAATTCTATCCCTACGGGGTCGGTTAATTGGAACGAGACTGGTCTGGGAGGCTAAAAGCTCTGACTTGTACATCGGCTGGCCACTACAAGTCATTGTACAGGCCACATACGCATTCAACGAGCACTACGATTCCGAATGGAAGTCGGAGGCGGGGCGCATCCCTCAGACGGGATTGATCAATGCCCGGAGACTTTATTCTTCACCCTTGTACTTCAGTTATTTACAATCTTCATATTTGCTTATTTATTTATGATTTATAATAGGCTTACATTATGTAGCAATTTTTTGTGCGCCAACACCTTCCAGTCGCTCTGTATTGCTCCGCCCATCGGGAAGATGAACGGGAAGATACGCCGCTCATGGGGTTTTATCGCTTGGCTCGGCGCGACGATGGTTCTGGTCCCCTCGATGATCGTGAGTATTTCTTGTCGTCTGAGATCGGCAACGGGGCGACCCCGCCGATCTCATACAGCAGCAGGCGCGGGCATAGGAGGCGTTTGTTCTAGGTGCTTCAAAAGCATTACAAGGATGTGCAAATAATGTTTGCAACGAGGCACTCGACGATTTCTCACTGCATATTGTTTTCATATGAAATTGTATGCAAATGTTGTTCTTCTTCCAACGGCCGGCTAGCTAGCCCTAGCCCCAGCCCCAGCCCGAGCCATTTCAGAATGCTATACCATCTGATGGTTTGCCTATTCACCGTCCACTACGCGGGGCACACCTGCACCATCTGCATTTACGCGAAAAATTCACCCGAATGGCAAAACTTCACTCGGGCATCCTCGCACCACTTTTTGTCGTTTTCTTACTGCTTTCTGCCACTGGACTCCGCCATGTCCCCCCGACTCCATTATGCATGCATTTCTATGCGAAACGCATCCGATCACTTCAACAATGCCCTGGTGGAGGTCCGTGGACATCGGGTTTTTCCCGGAAAGATATTCTCATTTTCCATCGTTTTATTCTCATCTGAACTGCCATTTCATCACCATCTACAAGGACATTCACGTTTCTTTGTAGTATCAATTATCGCGATGTACAAACTGCCTCACAACATCCATTCGGGCCCATTCCGCCATCGCCCCTTGCCTCGATTCTTGCGTCTCCCTCTGCCCTCATTCCGCTAACTCACGGTTGCTGCCATTCGACTCCTCTTAATCTGAGTTGATCATGTTTTAGCCACCGAATGTCTGACAACAGAAGGTCGTCTCTGGACTATATCCACCTGTGACCGTCGTTGTCGTTGCTGGAGGTGGACGAAAGATGCCAACGGTTGAGCCACAACTCTCCATAGATGACATCCTCATCAAAGAGCAACTGATGAGTGACGAAGTGTCGTCGAATGGCCAGAATTCGCTCCGAACGTCACGATCATCTCTCATCAAGAGGAAGTAAGTGAATCCCTTGAAACATCATTAAACCGAGCATGTTCCTGTTTGATTAGAACTGGGATATCTCACGTTTGGTGAAATGAGGGTGCCAAACATCAAAATCACCCTACCGTACCATTACAATATCCCTAAAAGGCTAGCTGAAATCTCGTGAAACTCGCATCTTCCGCTGCTACATGAGTTGTGAAAGTTTTACTCCTGCAAGTTTCAAGGATTTCTAGTACTTTATGAGGTGAACATTCAGAAAACGTCACGATGGTAACCACCAGTGCTTGCCCATGGCCTTTGCGGCATCGCTGTTCGGAATCTTAGTTACTGTCTGTCTTTTGCTAGCACTTGCCTATTTGGCTATACGGAATAGACCATGTGAACAACCTCGGCCATCCACCGGGCCACTCACTTTCAGGGAAGACAGTGATAAGGTAAGCGTTTGCAGTTTTTTTGGTTCAGCTTCAGTACTCAGTTTACGTCGAAAAAATATGTCGAGGGTTCCTCACTTTTCGATGAAGTGGGTCTAAGGGAATGGGAAAAAACTAGATTAGGTTGATTTTGAAAAAGGATGATCTCCAGGGATGAAAGCGAACAGGAGTTTAGCATAGTTTAGGTGGTTACGGTATCACCCTTGCGTAGATGAACGTTTGTTTTACCGGTTGGGAACCTTTTCTGTCAAAGTTGTATGGTAATAGGAAAGCGTGTGAAGGGACGGAAGTTATAATTAGATGCAGAGGAGGGTCGTTCAAATTTCTACATCGAACCACTAAAGGCTGGGACTGGAAACAATTTCCACTGACTCAACTGTAACTTCAACATCGGCTTAGATTTCTCGATTAGAAGATTCAGTCAACGACTTTCATTGATAAATACCTAATTACACCTAATTATCGGTAAATATTAGAACACTTGTCACTGCCTCTCAGTAGCTGATCAAACCGACGAATCCTACGTGGGTAGGGGCCGAATGTTTGCCACTCACATTTTACACCCAGATGCTCTTTTAAAGATCTCATTCATTTGTTTCGATTCAGCTTGATCGAATATCGAAGGAGCTGTCGGACCAGCTGAGCTCGGCTCGAATCAAACAGAACATGAGGTGGATGGCTGAGACGTCACATATCGCTGGGACCATCGAGAATGCCGTGCTAATTCGACGGCTGAGCGAAGAGGTGCTTCATTACCATCATTTCATCAAATGAAATTCCTCGTTGAATTCTAATTCTGCTTCAAATGTCATTCCAACTTACTGTGACCCTTGACATAACTGCTACTAACAAAGAAAACATCTCATTCAAATGAAAGAAGAGTTGGAGATCGCGATTCTCCTCTCAATTTACTTGTCCTGGGTCGAAAACCTTTCGGAACCATTCATCAACTATCTGGTACCAAACGTAACGGGTGCCGAGTACATTGTTGGCCTGGGTTCAAGTTCTTAAAGATGACGGCTCGCCATCACTTTGATGGAAGCTGGCAAAGCAAGGAGTGCTGAGATGTCGGTACGCTTCCTTCCAGAGGCCCATAGCTTTTTTGAGTTCCTCATCGTTTATCCAATTCCTAGAGTGCGTGCCCACAGCTCTACCCTTCTTACGAGCAATTTTTGCTCAGTCTCTCAGAGGTGAGAATTAAGGGCAATCGCTGAATCACGGGCAAAAGGTCGCCTGGGTTAGTACTCGAGCCCGTATGTGTGCTTGTCAAACAAATGGCTAACCAATGTCACCAACAAAATCCCATGTGCCCTTTTTAAGCTTTCAGTTACACAACTTTCTTTCTTTATCGCCTTTTATATTAATTATCTGAACAACCAACTGTCTAAATCGGTTATTTCGATTTTCAAACTGAACCTCAGCAGCTCATTTGCTAGCTGGATGCAGTTCCCAAATCCTTCCTCACTGCTGTCTATTTTGCGCTCCAAGATAAGTGAAGTGAGGCCACTACGAGAGGTTTGGGACCGTATAAGTTGTTACCGGAAGCCAGCCAATGCGCTTAAATGAAAGGGAGCAGATGATATAAGCGAAAGCTCCCCAAATAATTACAATGTTATGCATCATTGCATTCCTGGAAAGACTAGATCGGCTAGATCGGTTTCTCGAGCACGATTACTAGATAGTACTAAATTTCTATACTCGGAGTAAGTAACTGGGCAGATGTGGTGTAGTGACAAGTGGCTCACCATCACACCCACTCATGGTCACGGTTTCGTATTCCGAATCGAAATCCGTCTAGGTCAACCGAGCCTTCTGACTCTCCGGGGTCGTCTAATTGGTACCATACTCGTCTGGTAGGATAAAAGCACTGTACAGCGGTCGATCACCGCTAGTCATTGTATAGGCTGCATACGCACTCAATACGTCACTACGATTTTGGATTCGAGTCGAGTGCGAGGCGCATTTTCCAGAAGGAATTTATCAACGCCTAAGACACTATTCCTAAACCTTAACCTGTCCAGCTAGCAGAGCTTCTTTGGAAATGGTTATGTCCGTAAAAATTGGGGACAGGGAAAAGCAGAGTAAAGTAATACTAGTAAGAATCACATACTCTTCGTATCACTTTTTACAAATATTTGATCTTGGAATTTTATTAAATGACTTGATTTTTTAATACTCTATGATTTCAGTACGATCGTCTCGGGTTCAAGGTGAAGACGTACAACTACAGTGTATTGTTGAACTATCCGGATTTCGATAACCCGAATACAGTGGAAGTGGAGAAAGAAGGCAATTTATGGTGGCGTTTGAGTCATGGACGTGGTCATCCCAGCGGACCTCAACAAGCTGTCAACGAGGTCGTTGGCGCTCCGCCTAATGTTGCATACAAAATCACATTTCGCTCCTCTGAAAATTCACGAATTGCCCATTTCCTTGCAACAACGACTCATTGAAATTCGATTGCTGAAAAGCACAATGAAAGGAATGTAGAAAATTTGATTTCAAAAATTTACCAAACACACGGAAAATTTCCATTTCGAAAGCATCTGTAGCTTTATTCTCAACATCAATTTCGCCGACTTTCCGGAATATTTCGCAACAATGTGGGCTAAGAGTTTTTGAGGGCTTTTTTGAATAAAAACTGAAGTAGAATATTAAGAGACTGTAAAAACTATAATAATCAGTATCAAAAAATAAAGTAAAAAGTAAGTAGGAATAAGAAATAAGAGTAAGAAGTAGTAAGTCAAAGTAGGTAATAAAGTTAGTATACTAGTAAGTACATAGAGCTCAGTTTGATCAGTGCAAGACGTCATTTCGAACGTTTTAGTAGATTAATGTGATTAATGGCTTCCGACCCTTCAGTGAAGCCCCATAAATTACTCCCCGCAGACTTCAGTAATGGGTAGTCCGAGTTTCTCAGACCTTCGACTTAACTTAAAGGCACAGTTCACGATCATTTTGGGTTTTCTGGTTTTAGAAGAGTGATGGAAGTGATAGCCCAGAATAGTACAGGTAGTGCAGAAGTATCGAGGAAATCGCAAAAATCGGCTTATTAATAGGAAAACAAGGTTTCAAAAAGAAATGAAATTAACTGTTGTGCGAAAATGCCACGAAAAAAGCTGCATGGAAGGGATATTTGGATGAGATGTACAAACGCGTGCGCCATAGCATCCAGCTGTCTGCAGTCAGCTGCCTGCACGCAAATGTGGGTCCTGGTGTGAATGGTGTTACCTGTAGAGCTTTTACAACGCTTACAACTCGTCCGCCTAAGGTGTGTACGAAGGTTAAGCCAAATTGGGGCCCTTATTACGCTCTATCTTGACTGTTTTTCAAACTGACAGCGTCCCTTACACTGTCCTTGGGGGTCACAGATTCATCCTAGGGGGAATCGCAGAACCATTCCCAACGTGAACTGTGCCTCTGATAATTTCTTGCAGTGATCCCTTTGAAGATTATAGATTCCAGCCCTGAAAATGGTCTCACTGGATGCACGTTTTGCCATATCACTGCCATTCATAACGCTCAGAACGATTTTCAGCTGGACTTCCTGGGAATTACCATAAAACCTCAAAAAGTTTTTAAGGTTGGGTAGACAGCCGATAATTTTTGTTTCTAGACATGTGTGCGTTAGTTTTGGGGCAACATTGGAGAGGGAGGGGGGGGGGGGGGGNAAGGGGGAGGGAGAAAAATGGTTAGAGTTTCCCTCCTACAGGCGATTCTCAGTGTCGTTCAAATTAACATACAAGTCAATCCCCCATCCCCCTAGTGGCGGCTGTAAAGCGAGCTGTCCTCATACGGTATGGAGGTCAGTGACCAAATGATTCAATTACCAACACTTGCCCAGCAAATTTCAATTTTTCGGGCGCAGAGTAGCCGATTCGCGATCCCATATGAAAAAGCACAATAGGAGCGTTGACAGGAAGCTTTAACGTTTCTGAGTTTTCTATTCTTGTTATAGTGGAATTGATCGTCTCAAAAAAATTGTGAGGAGTAATTCCAGCAACTCGATGGCCGTTCTGAAGTGTGGTGGAATGCGTATTCGGCAGATGGTTTGGTTGAAGGTCGCATGGTTTACTGTAATTATGGGACTGTGGACGATTTCAATACTCTCGAAGAGGTTTGTATCCCATTTTAGGTTCGGTTAACGCACGAAGAACCTATCGTGCTCATGATTGGTGGTCTTCACAAACCACCAATCGTAAGCCGACTTTAATATCGATCGCATCCGAGTTGGTGGCACAGCGTGAACCAACTGGAACTGAAAGCACAGTATAGCATTTTCTAGCGGTGGGAGAACATTTCCAGTTAAGTCATTTATGCAGTGATTTAGATCGGTATCGATGTCGAAGGAGCAATCGTGTTGATACGATACGGGGCCTTGGTGAGATCTGAAAAAGTAGAAGAAGCCGAAAAACGAGGAGCAATCGGTGTAGTCCTGTTCAGTGATCCGGCCCAATACGTCGACTCGAATAGTAATGGAGTAAGTTATTTAGCATCATTCAGACCTACAATTCAAGCTTAACGACTTTCCTTTATGATCAGAACCTAAATTTCTGAAGAGTTGCTTTAGATCCTGATTCAGGATATACCTTCAATTTGATATTTCCATTTTTTATGCGTATTACCAATTTCTTCCCTCTTGACTCTCATATGACTAATCGTCCTGTTTGATATTTATAATGAAAAGCGAGAGAAAGGAGGCTCCCCTCTCTTCATATCCCCTTCTCACCGTATACATATTCGCGAATCCAGCAGCTTTGCTGGCTTTTCCCAATTTTTTTTACACTCATATCTATCCGATAGTCCCCAGGAGGCTAACCGACACGAGACACTCCTGCCATTCCAACAAGTTGGCTTGACCATATCTTTGAGCTACTTAGAACCCTTCTTGCTGGCATTACACTCTTTACACCGAGAGTGATGTTCCGATTGTGAAAGGTCAATGCATGAATACCTACCTGTATGGAGTGCGGAGTGCCCCATGAATTTTTCCCTTTTTAGTAGCCACAGAAAGTAATCCCGTGGAGCCAAGTGGGGTAATCGTGAAGACCGGATTTCTCGAGGGATGGTGGGACCCCAGGAGATGTTCTAGGGAATTTCAATTGAGTTCTATGCAGTATGTCCAGGTGCTCCCTCCTGTTTGGGATCGGCATTCAAATTTTCGTCTTCGTTCAGTCCACTAAGAAAATGCTCCAAGATGAAGGTGCAATGCTATTCTGAATTTATGGAGCCCTGAAAGAAGATCAGCTCACTGACACATTGCCTCGATGCTCACTGCACCAAATAATACTTACCACACCACAGCATGGGCTGCACAGTTACTTACCAAACATTCTGTACAAGTAGAATTGTAGCTTAACAAGTTAAAGGACCTCTGAATGTTTTATTTGGCCATATTTTTGATTTTGCAGACTTTTCCACACTCCTCTTCACTTCCTGGACTGGACGCTCAAAGAGGGTCCGTTGGCAGAGTGCCTGGGGATCCTCTGACACCTTTGCTGCCAGCGCTTCCTTATGTAACTCGGAGTGAAACCTTGGAAAGCCTTCGAAGGAAAAGTACGTTTCAATTAAACCTTGCTGTATATCAGGGCACTAAAACTACTTTTCCAGAGGTGCTGCCCAGTATTCCAGTGACACCTATCAGCTATGATGATGCTCAACGAATTATGGACTATATGGATGGTCCCACCATAACGGCTAGTCCTTACTCGTTGCAAATTTCTCGGGATAGTTTATGCTTTATAAGTGCGGTCCCTTGCTTCTCTTACCCTCAAAGCTGTTCTATTTAAGCGGTTAACAATTATTTCTAAGCCCTCGATAAGCTCCCCACTATTTGTGGAAACCGAGGTCGTCAACAGCGGGGGATGTCTCCTTGTAGGAAAGGCAGTAGTCAACGGAACTCGACCCATACACTTGTCGTATGCAAGGCTTTTAGCTTGCAAATTGGGGTGTTCCAAGCAAGTTTCTGAGTTTCGAATCTACTCAGTCAGGTTTCCTTTTCGGAGCTGTCTGAGAGGTATAGGGAACTCAGGTTCGGGTTTTTGTGAGAAGGATTCTAATGGAGGAACGACGATAGTAGGTGCTTACGGTCAGATGGAGGTTATTAGGTTATTACCTCGTTCTGAACCCCACTATGGATAATTTAAAATAAAGCCTTCCAGTAGCCATTATTTATGAGTGAGATTCTTACAGCGGGCTGATTGGATCGGTGGACTGGCAACGTATAGATGGAGTAGTCAGCGGAGATTTCGACTGAATGTACGATCGAGGTTTGTGTTAGAAACTTCTACCTATCTGAATTTTTAATTGTAAATACAACTCTACACTCTCGACACTTTTGCTAAGACAGCAGCTCAAATATTGACTGTTACATTAAACAGTAAAATGGACATCAGGCCATTACTAGGGCATCATTACGTGGTGAACCTGATACGTGGCGTATCCGAAAAGAGAAGGTCGCAGCGAAACCTTTCAGGCTGTTTTCTTCTTTCGCACGTATATGTTTTCCTTCCAGAGGGATATGAAGGAATCTTTTGTGTAGAAGATGGTCCTGTTTGATCTTTTAAACTGTGCTCAGATTTCGGTCATCGCATTGGCGTGTACCCCAGAACCTGCAGCAAATCTATACAAAATCAGCCTAAGTAATAAACAGTACCACTCTAACCTCCTTTTACTTTCAATTTATAATAAGTTGCCCAGGTTTTTGTGAGAATAAAAGGCTACAATCTTGATAAACGCGTCGCTGTGAAACTACCTCAATCCCTTGATTGTCCAATTACCGGTCCTGCAGGTACGGTCCAATAAGAGGGCGGCCGTAGTACCTTACAAATCTTCTCTGTGAGGAGTCTCATCTCATAGTCCGCCAGCGTGCGTGTCAGCCGAGGCACTGCTAGGGGGGAGAGGGAGGCAGACGGTAGGTCGACGCGGTTGCGTCGCGCCTAAGCCCCTTCGAAGGGCTGAAAACAAGGAAAAACAAGATCAAAATCCATTTACACAAGCCCTGGTTGTTCGGTTTTTGATCCTGTTCTTCTCTGTTTTCAGCCCTCCGAAGAGGCTTGGCGCGACGCGACCGCGTCGACCGACCGTCTGCCTCCCTCCTCCCCCCTAGCACTGCCTCGGCTGGCTCGCCGGCGGGCTATGAAAGCAGTCATACAGTGTGTTTCAAAAGTATGTGCACACCCAACATTTTGTTTTTTTGGGGATACCATTGCCTTCTGTGTCCTGTGATCTTTACCATTGAATTCCTTGTGTGCTATAACCTTCGAACACTTTCTCTGAGAAAACATCGTAGCTGCTAACACAATTTTTCATTAAAGAAAAATTTTTTCTTCGATTCAAAAGTATGTGCACACTTAGCAAAAAACAAAAATATAACCGAGATCAGAAATCATTAGGGCCCCCTAA